AGTTTACTACTAGCCAATAATATCAAGCAGTTTTAAATTTACTGAGCTTCTGATTTTCCTGGTTCTTATGTTAATATTTGAAAATGGCTCATACATGGGCCATCAATTTTGAGATCTTTGGGAACTTATAGCAAATAGCAATCTTTTTTTTTTTTGTTTTGGCCGATCAAATAGTAATCATATTGAGTTTTGAAGGTCATAACAAGAATCAACTATGGTCAAAGTGTCTCTATCAGTGGGCTTGCTGGTGCAGTTTCCTTGGCAGGATCTGGTGGAGGATTATGGGCTGTTGAAGGAGGCAATTGGCAGATGGCTGCTGGTCTAATTAACCATTCAGATGTTCTTTTGCACCTTAATGAGGAAATAAAATCCATCTCATACCAAGAGAAATTTTATGAGCTCAACTCCACCATGGGGAACAGTTATTTATGTGAAGTCACAGTGGTTGCTACACCCCTAGAAGAAGTAAACATCCATTTTATGCCTTTAGTCTCAGTTCCTGATAGAAAATTACAGCATACACATGTAACTTTTGTGAGAGGCCTCTTGAATCCAGTGAGTATCTTATCAGTTGCTTACGTACAGTTTCCAATCTTCCAACTCTTATCTGTAGTGAAATGCATTTTCCTTTCTTATGCCCCGTTAATCTTTTATTGATTTTTTAATTTGGAAAAAGGTATGTTTTGGTCTGCAAGCTGTTACAGATATCCCAGAACTGGTGGGTACAATAGAGGATCCAAACCTACCATTCTCGAGCATTTCCATTCTCAAGCGGTATAATGAGAAAGATATAACTTACAAATTATTCTCTAGGAAACCCATGACAGATGCGTTACTGGACAACATTTTCAGGTAACTATTCAATTAACTGTTTACAGCTCTTGACATTTCTTTTTTTTTTTTTGGCATATCTTACCTTTTGGCTTTGTGGTTAATGAAATGGGCATGGATTTTTATGGCCTTAAAACTATTCCTCAATAATTTCATTTTTGTTGGCAGAATGGGCATTAACTTTAGTCCATTTGGCCTTTCACTTTCCAATGTCATTGTGATGATCCACAGCTAGTTAGATTTTCCATGCATTACTTATCATAGAGATTGCCTTAAAGCCTTTTTTCAGATACTGATTCTTGTTTTTTGCTCTTATTGGTACTTGGTAGTATGAGGAAGGACACCATTCGAATAGACTGGGGTGCTTATCCTTTTTACAGAGCTCCTGAGGTATTTGCACCATTTATTTTGGATGGTCAACATTTGTACTATGTGAATGCTTTTGAGAATGCAGCTAGCACCATGGAGACAAGTGCTGTCGCAGCTGAGAATGTAGCACGACTCATCTTGTCAAGATATTTTAGTGAGGCATCCTTGAGTTCATCAAATCTGAGAACTTCTACTGAAGAGGTGTTGCATGTAGACTTGTGATGAACATTTTTTAACAGGCTTTGTAAAAGTTGTAATCTATGTCCTCTCTGAATACTATGAAATAAAAACAGAGGATATACTCTCTAGCTGCCTTTTTAGTTTTCCTGCTGTGGACTTGCTGAATAACAGAGAAATTGTATTTTCTATCCCACTTAACTATAATTAGTGCTTAAAATTTCAGTTTAATGTAAATACGTAGGGAATTTCTCCTTCCAAGTGGTCCAACTTCGTGAAGGATGGTTGGAAGAATGTCCATCGAATGATGAAAAGGTTTCTCAGACAATGTGGCAGGGAGAGGTGTTCTTGCAAAATTATATCTATACCATGCTCTAGAAATACTTCAATAACTTAAATGCTACAATATGTCTAAAGGTTGCCAAACCCAAAAAATAAAGCGTAAACAAATGCTTGTCATCGAGAAAAATAATGAATATGAAAATGTGAACTTAACAATTCACTGAGAACTAGAATTGTTGGTACTAGCAAAACAACTTGGCCAACTATTTGCAAATTGGAATTGTAAATTGACATTATTGGCAAAAGGTAAAGATCTGTCTATGATGGAACTAATGACAGTCTATCGGCAAAAATATGTAGACACTTGCTAGTGGCAGAACTGACCGTTTGGACTAGCCTCCTGGCAATTAACAAAACTAGAACGGAGCGCTAAGTTAACCTCGTGTTTATTAATTCAATTAAGCAAATTATGACAACTAAAAAATGCTCCATTATAAAAGGCCATAGCATTTTTCATTTATTAAACCTGAGATTTTTATGGTGAAAGTCGCCAGGCAACATTTTCTTTCTTCGAGCCAAAGTACTGTCCTCTATTTCCCTCCATTTTTGTTTTCTTTGAAAACTACAAATATTTTTTTTTTTTTGATAAAATGCTTGTCTTCTTCCTTTTTTTTATATATTTTTAAAATCCCCATGTACAAAATCTGCCCAACATTTTCTTTCTTCTAGCCAAAGTACTGTCCTCTATTTCCCTTCATTTTTGTTTTCTTTGAAAACTACAAATATTATATATTTTTGTAATTAAATTATACGAGAGATTTAACTTAGGTGAAAGTTAGGTGAAAGGGTTATAAAATTTTAGATAAAACATTGTTCTTAAAAAATTTAACCAAACTCACTTAAACCCTGAAAATAAATACACTTTTAATTCAAACCCTTATTTTACTAAATTCATCTACACCCTAAAACTTTTTACTTTACCTATTAAACCCTCATCAAAACTCAAATGCCTAGAAAAATTTGGGATATCACACTCTGTGGCCGCTCTTCTAAGGCTTCCATAGGTTTAAAGTAGCAATTCTAATGTGGGTATCAATCCTTTTGGCAAAGTCCATGTGGGTTGGTCCCTTTGCATGTTGGGGTTTGATGATCCTCTTGTCTTTCCTAGGATTTCCAGTTAAGGCGTAGGGATTATCTTCCCAGTTTGCAGTGGGTACCAGATGGAGACTAAGTCAGATGACAAGATTAACGGTTGTAGGCAAGGAGATTTGAAGGGTGACTTTGGTAGTAGTTTGTTCCTTGGGTCTCTCCTAGCCAATCGATAGTTGGAAGCAAAGGATCTTAATTTGCTTTGATCTTGTTGTGTTGCAATGGGTGGAGGGTAAGGATGGTGATTCAATAGCTCTTGCTAATAGCCTTTACATTATTGATTTCCTATCTCAATGACATATACAACTAATGGACAATTTAAGAATATTGCTTTTGCATTGTATTGTTCTCATTAATAGCAATGACAACTATTACCTTTTGATACATTAGATATCCTACAGACTTTAATAATAGTAATATATCTAGAAGAATAACAATTAACATACAATAAATAAATGCATCATAGATAAATATGAATGTCATAATCATAAGTCAAAATAGAGTTGGCTAGAGGGCAAACTCTTACAATCTCTCACTTGCACTAGAGCCAATTGCTAACATCTTTAATCCTACTAACTCTCACATGTCTATCATGCCTTTGCTGAGGAATGGCTTTAATAAGTAGGCCTGTGACATTATCCTTTGTTGTAACCTTGCTAATTGTGACATGACTTTTGCACAAAGTCTCTTAGAAGGTGGTATTTTCATAGTATATGCTTTGTCCATTGGTGAGACCATGGTTTCTAGGCAACTGATACCACTATAGTGTTGTCATAGTATATGGTGATTGCATCAACAATGCTAGGCACAATGCTAAGCTCCATGATAAGTTTGTAGATCCAAATTGCTTCAAAAGCCGTAATATACTTGAACTCTACCATAGAAATGGAGACAACTTTTTTCTTTAACCTTCTCAAGCTCATCGCACCTTCATTCAAGCAAAACACTAAACCACTTTGCAATTTAAGATCATCTTGATTTGTTTGGAAGCTAACATATATGTAACCCATCCCAACTAGGCTAAAACCAACTTTTAGCCCCTCACCTTACAAAATTGGTAGGTTTTAGCCCCTTTATCTTACAAAGTTGGTAGGTTTTAACCCCTCATCAGTACGAATTGAAGAAAATAACCCTTATTTAACATTAGGTTATAATGTTCTATTAGTTCTGTTAGTTGATTGTTAGTGTTGTTAGTTGACTGTTAGTTTTGTTAGTTGACTGTTAGTATCTGTCAGCATTTCGTTAATGGAACTAACAAATAAAATTGAATTTAAATTTCATGTTTTTTTATAACGGAATGCTAATGGATATTAACAGTCAACTAACAGAATTAACAAAACGTTATAACCTTATGTTAGGTGAGGACTATTTTCTTTAATTCATATCGGTGAAGGGCTAAAAATATCATAATATAAGGTAAAGGGTTAAAACCTACCAACTTTGTAAGATAAAGGGTTAAAACTATCGTGTTATAAGGTGAGGTGTTAAAACATATCAACTTTGTAAGGTAAAGGGCTAAATGTTAGTTTTTGCCTCCCAACTAACTCCTCATCTCCTCCATAAACCAAGAATGTGTACTTCATATGTCTTAAGTACTTAAAGATCATCTTAACAACAATCTAATGTTGTTTTCTTAAATCTACTTGATATTTGCTCATCATGCTCAAGGCATATACAACATCAAGCCTCGTCATGGTCATCTTATCTCTCTCATTGTGTGTCTTAGGACATATCTTTGAGAGATGTATAACATGTGACATAGGTAACAATCCCTTCTTAGACTGTTCCATGCTAAATCATTTTATCACTTTGTCAATATACGTACTTTAACTTAGTCCCAACAGCCTCTTAGATCTATCTTTGTATATCTTAATTCCCAGGATATAGGTTGTTTCACCTAAGTCCTTCATGGAGAAACACTTGCCTATCCAAGTCTTTACAAACTCCAAGGCAAGTTTTTGGTTTCCTATAAGCACCATGTGGTTGACATACAATACTAGGAAGACCACTACATTCCCACTAACCTTCTTGTACACACAATGCTCACTTCCATTCTTGATGAAGCCAAATTCTTTGAGTGCTTCATCAAAATGAATATTCCAACTCCTTGAGGTTTTTTAAATCCATAAATGAACTTTTGCAACTTGCATACATTCTTGGTGCCTTGTGGTGTTACAAAACCACTTGGTTGTGTCATATAAACATCCTTAATTAGATTTCAATTAAGGAAAGCTAGTTTGACATCTATCTACTAAGTCTCATAATCATAATATCTTGCTATGACAAGAAGTATCCTAATAGATTTAAAAATAGCCACAAGTGAAAATGTCTCCTCATAGTCTATTTCTTATTGTTAATTGAAACCTTGAGCAACTAGTCTTGCTAAATAGGTACATACATAACCATCTATGCTCATCTTTTTCTTGAACACCTATTTACATCATATGGGTTTCACGCCCTTTTGAAGGTTTATACCTTGTTTTGGTACATGGAATCCATCTCAAACTTCATGGCTTCTTGCCATTTCTCAGAGTTTGAGCTAGCAACTGTTTTCTTGTAAGTAGTAGGCTTGTCATTCTCTATAAGTAGTATGTCATCTTCCTTTGAGATAAGAAAGCCATATCTCTCTAGTTCTCTATGTACCTTACTAAATCTATGTAGTTCTTGTGTTACTTGAGCATTCTTTTGTTCCACCTATTCTTGTGGAACTTGCTCTAGTACTGAATCTTGTGTATCTTGCATTACTAAAGCTTCCTCAACTTTTCTCAAGCCCACTTTGGTCCATTATCTCTTTTTAGAGATATGTTTTCCTTCTAAGAAGAAGGCATATCTATTTGCTATTACCTTTCGATTAGACAATTTTAGTATTATCCTTTAGTTTCTTTGGGATATCTTATAAAAATGCACTTTGTACCTTTGGATGCAAGTTTGTCTATGGATGAGCTCTCCACAAACACTTTGCATCCCTAAATGTGTAAATAAGACAATGTAGGTTGCTTTTCATACCAAGCCTCATATGTTGTCTTGTTTATAGTCATTTTGTCAAAGAATTTCTCATTGTCTAGGTGCCATGGAAAATGTGTTTGCAAACATGATTTCACTCTATTTCCATCTTTTCGTATTGGCCAAATTGTTAAAGGCATCATTTCTCTGAGTCATGGTCAATGTAATTTTTGTATATGTTACTTCAAATTTTGAATCGGATTCCTTTAGCAGTTTCTCATTTTCCTTCCTTTTAGCAACTTCTTAGCCTATAGGTCACTGACACTCTTCAAAAACACCAAGTCAACACTAGTTAGTGTATCCAAATACAATGACAATATATATGCTCCATATTTAGATACCTTAGTTCTCTTTGAAGAACTATATTTTTTTGAGTTCGAAATAGAAGCAATGGAAGCTCCCAATTTCGCTTCATCCTTTAACAATCTCCTTACATGTTCATCCCTATACTATTTACCATTTTCGCTTGATCAGTTGATGTGCCCTTTTGATTATGTCATTCTTATGTGCCCCACTTTGCTATCATTGGGAGACACATCTATAGCAACTAACAAACTTTGTAACCAAGTGATTCAACGTATACCAATCTTGTTTCATTTAGTTCCAAGTTCTTGATATTTGATCATTGTGATGCTCCATGCAGTACTCTACCTTCCATTTCAAAAGACTCCATTTCTTGATCATTCCCCACAAATGGGTCCTTAGAAATATTTAACCATGTCCTTATAAGAAGCTCATCTTCTGAATCACGACAATGGACATGATTTGTGGTAGTGGATCGAGAAGTGATATCTTTATCTTTGCTATTGTCAAGCAGAATCCATCTAACCCTTGTTGGATAAAGAATTCAAGAAAACATGATTTGGATGTGAATTCCATTAGTGTTCGAAGAGATTGATTTGTAGAAGTTGCAAAGTTACTCGCCAACGTGTTGTGGTTGGGTATTGTAAATTTTTAATTTTGAAATTTTGGATTTTGAGGTTATGGAAATTAAGATTTTGGCAATTGGAAATTTTGGATTTGGTTAAACCCCTAATTTGGTCCTTGAACTATTGTGTGGATCTCTGATTTGGTCCTGAACTAAAAAAATTCCTAATTTAATCCTTGAACTATTGTACAAACCCTTGATTTGGTCCTTATTGTTTACTAATTTAACCCTAAGTTGGTTCTTCTGTACAAAAAAAGTTGACGTATCTATTATTTAACGGCAAAAAATAGTTACTTAACGACCACGTAGCACGTTAATAACGAGACATGTCAACTGTTTTTTATACGAAATGACTAACTTGGAGTAAATTGATAAACAGTAGGGACCAAATCAAGGGTCCATTCAAAATTCAGGGACCAAATTAGGGATTTAACCTTTGGATTTTGTAAAAAAATGTTGAATAGATTTGGATCTAATGGAGTAGAATTTAAATTTGGAATTGGTGGAAATTGAGAATTTGGATTTTGGGAATTTTGAATATTTGGAAGTTGCATATTTTGCAAGAAACTCATAAAGGAATGGAAATTGAATTGATTTGGATCCATGTTAATAAGAATTGAGAGAATTTTGAGTGAAAGTGAGTGTGAAACTTTGGTATTTATAGATAAATTTGAGAAACAAAAAAGTGAATGAAGTCATTATTTTTATAGTTATTTGTCACTCCATCATTATCCAGGTTAGGTTTAAGAAAGATGCAAATGAAAGCAAAAATATCAAAATATTTTTAAATCCTATTGTAACCCACTTAAGATCTTATAAATCCATTGATAGTTACAAAAAGTTTCATAGTTAATACCTCAACAATGCATGCCTCAACGCATAGACTTAAGGATTTTTTTTGCCCTAACTTCGAGCAAATTCAAACTTAAATTAATTAAATTAAATTAATTCTTTCTTTACCAATTGAATCAAGATCTTAATTAATTTATTTCTCTTGTGAAAATACTATTTTTATATAAATTAATCCATATCCAACCAATCCTCAAAATGCACAGTGTGTGGCCTTCTAGATTTCCAGTACGATGGTAGTGAAAAACAGTCATAGACCAAAAGCAATATTTAGCAACATACCATGGCCACCAACAATGATAGAAAAGTCGATTCTTCAACAAACCTTCCTATTATCGATGCACTTTTGTAATTCAATTCCTTCATCACTAATATCTTCATCAAACAAGATGCATGCTATGCGTCATTGTCCTTAAAACTTGATATATCTTTCTTTGATTCTCAAGATAAATCTTTCTTGAATGAACCTTTCATTTTGCTTGTCATGGCCATGGACTTTGCAAGTAGTTTTATCCTAATCAAAGAGCCAAATATATCTTCTCTCATAAACTTGAGAAGGATGTATCCCTTCTTAACTTGCCCAGTACTCTCATGCAGTTCGTGATACATCTAACAACTACATTATTTGTAACCCCTTGAAGTGGCTGTTTTTAATAGCATCAAAGTACACCAGTTTGGCATAGAATAGTGATAATCTTAAGTCAAAGGATTACTCATACTCACAATATAGCTGAGAAGCTATTAATGACACATGCATATAGAATTTCTCTTATGTCAGGTCAATCTTGTGCACTTGCTTTGTGCCACCCGCATGTGATACATGACTTCATAAGCAGAAGTCTTGCACTTAATAAAGCATCACATATGATAGTCTTTAGGTCAGTGATGTCTAATCTCATTGAGGTATAAGACTAATGGATAATTTAAGAATGTTATTATCACATTATATAATTATCACTAATAGCAATAGCTATTAGTACCTTTTGACGTAGCAAATATTCTAAAGATTTTATCAATATTTAATGTACATGAAAGATTAATAATTAATATTTGATAAAGAATATCATAAATATAATGAACAAATCACAAGCATATAAAATTATCATGCCAACCTAGTTGCCTTATAAAGCATACTCAAACAATCGACCCAACATTGAAAATAAATGCCAAAAAAAAAAAAAGATTTGAAATTAAAATTTAAAAAAATACCATTGCTACTTGAACGTTGATCCATCCGACATCTATAAAAATGGTTGTTGGATCAACTCTAAAAATAAATGCTAAAGAAAAAAAGAACTTCAAATTCTTTTAAAAAATTTAAACAAAAGAGTCTAACGGCTAAAAATTAACCTTTAGCCTCTTTGCAACAAGATGTGATTGGCTAACACGTCAACATATGCGTCAGCCAATAAAAATTTTTCACTTGAAAGGGACAGAACAACATCGTTTTTTCCACTTCTAGTGCAAAAAATTTTGACTGAGCTTTTCTCTATTCAGAGAGACAAGCTTGGTCTGTGAATGGTCTCTAATGGTACAAGTGTCCTATCTTTGTTCTCTTTTGGGAAAAAACAAATAAAGAAAACTCTCATTGTACGTGTTCTAATCACAATCTTCCAATTCTAAAATTAAACCACTAAGCTAAGTAAGACTATAAGTCCTTATGACTAATGTAGCTAATCTCGCTCCATTCCACACATGTAAGTCAACTTCACCTTTGAAGAGACTTCCGAATCTACTTGGTTCCTGCATATTAATACAAATAATACAAATATAAGAACCACATTCAGTATCCAATGCCCACAAAGTAGAGACAAATATGAGACCACTATCATCTTTCGGTCCTTAGGGCAATATAGGTAGCATCCCTTGGTTTCTTTGGTATAAAGATGCACTTTGTACCTTTGAATGCAAGTTTGTTTGTGGATGAGCTCTTGATGCATACTTTGCATCCTCAATTGTATAAGAGAATGTTGGTTTCTTGGACATTGTCTTGACTACAGTTGGTGCATGATTTAGTGTTTGTGCTATTGTTTCCAAGGCATATCCCTAAATGAATAATGGAAGACTTGCATTAGTCATCATCAATCTCACCATGTCCAACAAGGTATGATTCCTCCTTTCAATTACACCATTCTATTGCAATTTCCCTGGAAGTGAGTTGTGAGATAATCCTACACTTTTTCAAATAATTGATGAATTTTTTACTAAGATATTCACGATATCAATCTGTTTGAAATTTCTTAATTTTCTTGGCTAGGTTGATTTTCTACTTCATTTTTGAATTCCGAAAACTTCTCAAAGAGTTTTACTTATATTTCATTAAGTAGATAATTGGTTAATTGTGTTAAAAGTTTATTATTTTACAATCTAAACTATTTTGGATTGCTTTAAATGAGGGAAGATTAGTGTCTTACAATTCAAAATAATTTAAACTCTAAAATACTTTTTCATTGTATTAAATTAGAAAGTCAAAAAAATAGTTTTAAATTAAGCCCGCTAAAAGAGACAATTGACACGTTTTTTATTTATGATGGACTTCAGACACAGCGTAAACAAGAAGCTACGACTGGCAATTTCATATTGGCAAGCAATTACTGTTATTCCAAAAAAATTGGCTTCTTACCTAGCATCAGGCAAGTAATTGCTTGCCAATATGAAATTGCATAACAAGTGGTACGTCATTTCACTTGTCATGCATTAGTCAAGGAGATTTTTTGAAATAACAATATCACTTGTTTTGCGTAAAACAAGAAAGATTTTTTTGACAACCCTCTCTTCTTTCTAAATGTGAAACTCAATCGTGAGTTGATAAAAAAACGTTGTGAACTACACATTAATGATTAGATGATTGGCAAAGACAAGAAATGAACTTCTTGCACTAAATGGCTTGAATGACAAAATGCCTTGGATATGTCTCTAAACACGACCTCAAACTAATGTAATTAAGAAAAACTAAGACAGTAAGAAAAGTAAATGATCGTCAAATTATTAAAAATCTAAATGAATTAAAATATGCAAATTGAGTTGAAATAGAGCTCCGAAAAGGAAATCTAAATGCAAAAAAATAAAGTAAGTTAAAGTAAATGAAACTAAAAACATAAAAAATCTATTGGTAGTATGAAATATAAATCAATAAAAACAAAATAAAACATAAGCTTAAATATCGACATCACTTGATTGAATTAAAAGAAACTAAGAAGACAATAAAAAAAAAGAAGTAATCCAATTACAAAGAAATATCATTGAAAACAACAAATCTTACCATTACAAAACCAACGAAAAGGGAATTAAATTGCTTACTCATAAAACTACAATTAGTTTCTTGGATTTCTAAAGGAAAACATATTAAACTAAAGTTGAAGACTAATTTAACTGGACGCGTAGAGTTAAAACTAAACAAAGGGCTGAAAACTAAGATGAACTTGAGCATATTAAAAGAAATAATGTTGAGATAGTTGTGTGAAAGGTATATCTATCTTGCTTGATTTATTCTCCATGTATTTATTGCAATAAACATCCCTTAGCAGCATGTTTTTGTTTTGGTATGACCATCTGGTATCCAAAAGCCCATTGGACCACTGACTAATCCAAATTCAAGCCGGGCAAGACCCTATGGGCGGCAAAGCTATCCCTTATGAGTTTTAATGGAGCTACATTCCCAGGATTTGAACTCAAAACCTCTGGTTAAGCTGGAAGAATCCCAACCAACTCATCCACCCGCTCATGGGTATCCCTTAGCAGCATGTTAGAGAACTGTGGCAGCATCTTAAAAATTAACAACAGCATGAAAACCAAAACAAATCAATCAACTAGGTGGTGCTGCCAACTTATGCTCTCAAAAATTCACAACAAATGTTGTGAGAAAAACCACTGAACCTTGTCCAAGAGAGATCTACATCAACAAAAGGACTTTTCAACAAATTAAATACCTACTAACATGGATAACATGCGACACCATTCTATTACAAAAATTAGGTGCAAACAGATGCTATCACCGCTCAACGTCAAATTTTGGCGCTTTTCTCAAGTCAATGTCCAAGGGCCTCGATTTTATGTTGTAAGATGAAGCATTAGAAGTTCGAAGCATAGTGAGGTAGATGGTTTTCCATGTACTTTTGCCCCTCATTCTTGGTAGGAGAAAATATATATATATGCAAACATAAAATAATATTGAAGAGTCTCAACAGTCAAGAGCTTGAATTTTCTTGTTTAAAGTCTCTAAATTCAAATTTTGAGAGGGGCTCTATAGAACCAAACATTACCCTGTTGATTAGTACCCAAAAACAAGACCAGAAGAATCTAAACCAAAAACTACAAGAGCAACCTCCTGCAATTTCAGTTTTTTCATTTTTTTAGAACTACACACCATAACCACCAAGCACCCTTCATGCTTACATCTGTGACAGCAAAACCCTTAGTCTGCCTTCTGCAATTTCAGTTTCTTGCAACTAAACCATCAAACCACCTAATACACATATCAACATAAAACCCTTAGTTAATACTTTTCCTAAGATTCGGCAAGTGCCTTGTCAATTTCTTTGACGTGATCCCTAAGCACCTTCCACTGCACAGGGGCAAGAATAATAAGTAAATGTAAATCACTTCTACCAAGCAATATGAAAGGCAAAAACTACTGGAAAATCAATAACATACCTGATCCATACTTAGCGAGATACCTGGGAGAATATGCAGAACATGTCGTCATTATAATTTGTGAGATAATTACTGGGCAATATTAAGAACATAAAAATTGAACATTCTACCATACAAATGTCCAAATCTATATTGAAGATATTTAAAAGGCTTTTCTAAATAAAAAATATGTTCCCGATCATAAACGTGTAAGCACATCCATGCAAATGAAGAGAAAATTTCAAACAGAAATTAACCAGCCACAAGTTCTTCAACAAACATACACTTCATGGACATAAGGCTTCTTCATAACATATCAAAGAACAAGCATCACTGGGAGTTAAGTCACAATACATTTAATGTAGTTGAAATTCAGAAATACTTGGTTCTTATACATGGAAGTTGACCCAGTAACTAGCCATAGCAATGACACTTCAATCTTGATAGACAACTTCAGAAGAACTTAGCAACTGCAAATAGCTACAAAAGGGTATCTTTTATCAGCAACTATTTTGATTACAAATGCTGAGTCTAGATCTAGAACATCTATTTTACATCAAGTTGAACATGTGTATGTGCACACGTGTGCACATGTTGTGGAAGCTGCATTGAAGAAAAGGAGGCAAAGTACACAAGGGGGACATTCGTATGATTCTGATCAAGCACCAGAAAATTAAGATGATACATTAGAAATTCTCCTACATAAATAAAAAGGCAGAAAGTCCAAAGTGGCCCCTCCATTGACCAGTTTGTAGCATATCAGTCCCATTGCTAAATTTTGTGAAAAAAAAAAGCCCTCCTACAGTTGATTTTTGGCAGATCAGCCTTTCTAAAAGGGATGATATCATGTGTTGTCAGCAATCCATTCATTGTTGCTTAGGTGGCATTATTGTGGTCCCAAGACCTAGATGATGACATAGATTTTGTTTTAACTAATAATTCATTTTTATTAGATAATATTATAATATTTATTAGAGATATTAGGAGAATTGGAGAATCAACAACATTAGTAGTTGATTAAGTTAATTTAATTAAGAAAATAGATACTACATTTGATAAAGTGGTAAAATTTCTTGATTAGTAGATCACCTAAGCCTATATAAGGCTCCCTATGTAACAGTTCTAATATCTTGATATCCTTTATTCCAATTCTCTCCTAGTTTTTTCTTGTTTTAATTTTCTTAACATGGTAGCAGAGCCTAAGGTGATTCAGTTTCTGTATAGAGTTTTATTTCCTCTTGCTTCCCCTGTTTCCTTAGTTTCAGGGTTTTTGTTTTTTCAAAAGAAATAAGTTCTTTGTTTTGACAGTTAATTGTCTATTACGTGTCTAGCTTTGTTTTTTGAGTTCATTTTGTATTATATATCTTCTTGTTTTTGTCCTTCTGATTTATTCATTAGGATTTGGTTTTAGTGGGCGTGTAGACTTTAGTTTCACTGTTTCAATTTCTTCCCGCTGCCTAGTTCAGTTGGTGTCAATCAATTTTACCAATTTCTTCATTAAAACAAGGTTGCATTTTACTCTCTTTTTTTTTCTTTTCTTTTCTTGAAAAATAAATCTAGTTATTTTCTTCTAGGGTCAAGCTTCATTTTGTTCAGTTTCATGGAATCAATAAAAAAATTAGATTTATTTTAGGGAAATTAGAAAGACAAGTTTTTTGATAAAGGTAGAATTTTCTTTATTTTTGAGCAGGGTTGGGTTACTTCTTAGGTCCAGTTCCAGTTTATCATTCATTGTCATATCCATCATACTTCCAGTCTTCTAGGCGCCTGAGTTGTTTCAATCTGTTTTTCAAACTCGTGGGTGGCTTCCAAAAGACTTTAAAAAACCCTTGTTTTCTAGCACTAAGTAAATTTGTTTATATATCTGTTGCTTCCACATCCACCTATGATGTTGTTATTCTATCAATCAGTCATTGATGATCATCTAGGCAGACTCAAGCAACCACCCTGAACAGCAGCTCCATCTAAAGCTTGATGCACACAATTTACAAGGTTAGGTCTGAGACAAATTTTGGCCTCTCCAATGCAAAATGAAGGCATTTCATTTGTTTGTTTCGATTTGGACTAGATTAATTGACAGGTTTGTTGACTATTTTCATGAAGCTGAATTTTGTCAGTTCATTCAGCAATTAGTATTGTTTGGTTGTGGTTGGGTGCCAACCCACTCCAACAGTGTTTGGTTTATGTTTTGACCAATTGAAGCGGTTTTGTGGTTTCGTTACCGACAGTAGTTGGTAACATGTTGGCTGGTTCACAAAGAATAATTAGTGGCATTTCAATTGAGTCATGGGGATGATGTGTAATCTATTGTTGGTTCAGTCTGTGGTTCCACATCAGCACAGTCCAATGCCTGGTGAGCAATCCAGGTCATGACAGCAATGAAATTCTTGGTTAAGAAACAAAGTTCCAAAGAAAAAAGCAAGGGAGGCAATGTTACCTCCAAAGCATAGAATCAAGGATAGTATTTCCTCAAAATCTGACTAAAATCTTAAAGCTTCAAGTATGGAGAAAATCTGCAGCCCCTTTCTTTTGGCTTCTTTCTGTGTTTGTGCTCTCAAAGTATGTCCTCTTTCTTAGTTTTCTCTCTATTACTTCCAAAAACTTTCTTTAACCCCTTTTACAAATGATTCCCACCCTCCCTTCAGCACTTGCTTGCCAAAGCACCATGGCCAATAGTGGACACCAAGCCACAAAGACCACTGTAGCACATGTTACAACACAGCCCAAAACTACAAACCAAGATCTAGAATGGCAAACATAATTTTCTCATATCTCACCAACCTCTTTTGACTTCTTCCACAAGTAAAAAGCCAGTGTGAACCACCTCCATCAACCCCAACCTCCAAATTTCCCCTTCACTGTCTCACTTTACAGAAACGTCATAGCCTTGCAACCAGATTGCAGACCTGCTTGACAGAATTCTCCTTTATGTGACCCAAGATCTCTAGATCTAGGTTTTTGTTTTTTGTTTTTTGTTTTATTCTTTTTTCTAATGTCAATTGATAAATAAATGTTACTGTTAATTAATTGGTAAACAATACCGCGTTCTTCTACAAGCCATGTTTGCTCTGGGTCCACTCAATAGCAGCTCTATTAAGTTTAGATGGATTAATGACATCAAAAACATCATCTGCTGAAAAGGCAGATGATTTGCCACAAATCAAGAGTAAAAAGGTAACAAAAGCTAAAGAAGAGTTACAAAGCAAAGCTGGTCAACAAATGATGCAATAAATAAGAAGAGATAAATGTTGGATATTTTTTAAGCAGATGTGAAATTGTATATGAGGAGCTTCTTCAGAACTTAGTCCTAGCCATGACCTATTGCACATTGAATCAACATTTTGGCCAAACAAATTTTGACATTTCAGTTGTGCACCCACTAACAAGCCAAAATTATTGATGAATCACGTAGACAAACTAAAGATTCACAGTTCTGGTGCTTTAGGTCAATTTACATTAGCAAAGTTATGTTTGGTTAATTGGTTTGAGAAAAAGGAGAGGAAATGATAGGATGCGACATCCTTCCATTTCCCTCCTCTCCCCTCCCTTCACTTATCCAAGTGAAGGAATTAAAAGCGAAAATTAAAGG